CTCTTCTATTGTAAGATAAGGATCATCATTGATAAGAAGGCGGATCTCTTCAATATTTTCGGATGTTGTTTCAGTGATGGGTCTACCAGGTCGTGATTCATCTTCAATTTCTTCTCGACCTTCACGAAACAGCTTCGACCATCTTTTCACTGTTGTGAGAGAAGGAGCTTGATCACCATAAACAGAATACAGTTCATCATGAATAATTCTTGCTTGAATATTAAGGGCAGTACGCACTTTAATGTAGAAACGGAAGTTTTCTGTACTCATTTGAAACAGGAAAATAGGGCCAAAGTTAAAGTTGATTTTATTTTTCTGACTTTCTTGAATATAAGCAAAATACACGACACGTGCACACAAAAACAATACCGCGGACGCGTTAATGTATATGTACGTATGGATGGACAGTTATTATAAGAGATAAGAAGATGATGATGAAAGAAACAACAAGAGAAAAAGCAAGAAAAAACGAAAAAAAACACGTGTAGATGATTTTATGCACTATTGCTACCAGCTAGAGTTGCACTAAAAATGTTTTTGTCGGAATTTTATTACTATGGTCTTAGTTAGATACTGATCAAATAGCATAGAAAGATAGAGCGAAAGACGCTCTATCTATTCGTAAAAAAAGAAATTTCTTTTTAGCTATTTATAAGAAAAAAAAGAACCTGGCCCACTACTTTTGGATAACCCTAAGTATAAAAAATACATTTGGATGATCAGTTACCATTTGTAACATTCAATTACAATACGTCGGTGCATTCTTCGACCAAACAAATTCCGTTCGAAATGATGTATGGTCGAGCACCAGTATTACCATTTGACTATCAAGGAGGCAATGTTACAATTCAATATGATGATGAACACGTGAAAAAACTTAATCAATTTTTAACAAAATTAAATGAATGAACAAAAATTAATATTATTAAAAATCAAGAACGATATAAACAACCTTACAATGCAAATCGTTGTGATCCATCATATAACGTTGGTGATCTCGTTCTCGTTAAGACACTCCACATCTATTCAAAATTCAATATTCGTTATGAAAGTTCATTTAGAATTACTGAAAAACTTGCACCAAAGACATTTATCTTACAACACATCAAGAAACCAACATTACATCGTGAAGTTACAACTGATGTGTTACTTCCAATTTTGGAACACACTCATTAATTTCAGGATCTCATTTTTAAAGAGATCCGAAGCATAAATGATATGTCGAATTTTATGGAATAATTATTTATTATTAGAATAACCGGATTTAATATGATTGAGTATAGCAAGATCGAGGAGTGTGACTTTCCCCCCATTCACTGATTTCGAAGGGCTATTATATTCGACTTGGAAGATTATCTTTTATAGTTAATTATTTCATTACACGAAATACAATTTATGGATATGTTCATATTCATCTATTTATTTATTCTTTCAAATTCTCATTTGATCAATGAGAATCGAAAAGAAACATTATTTCGTACTCTATCATTATTGACATATGAATTAATGGATGATAAACGAATGATAAATTATCTAGTCTTTTCATTTAAAAAAGAAAAAAAAATTCTTTTTTTGTTTTTTTTTGGCTCAGATAGCATTTGGTAGATTCCTATTCCCTATAAGAATCGATATTTATAACTATATATTCTCTTCATTGTAGTGATGCTGTCGGAAGAAGAATATCAAGATACAAAACGTAATTTAAATAATATAACAGCAACTACAAAATTACGACAAAAAATTAGAAGAATATTGCTGAAAAAATTAAAAGAACATGAATATGCTACAAAATTTATTCCATTCGAACCATTACCCCACTTTCAATTTTTTATTAACCGAACAACAACCGAACCCATACTTCAGCAAATTATTAAAGCTATAACAACATCTACTGAATTTACAATTGATATCGAACCAATAAATGTTTATAAATTACGAAATGAACTAGCATTGATACAAGTCCAAGTTATCTTGCCACATGATTATTCACTTGCATTAATAATAGAAGTGTGTCACCTTTCAAGTGTTAATCATGTTAATTTTACATTAATGAAGGAATTATTTCGAATCGTATTTTCACCAGATAAAATAATTTATATCTGAGGATCAAAAAAAGAACTGATTCCAT